AGAGTTTTCTGTTGTGTCTAGTGCAGAGGAAGGAGCAATATTTCATGACAACGAGTTGCTACGTTCAGGACTTAGAATAGGGCATTACAGTTGATTTCAGTTGTTTCAGTATTGTCATGCGATAAACTTAGTTATCAGAAAAAGGTAACAGCTCATTTTGCTGTGCACTTTAAAATCTGTCTAAGATTGGACTCACAGTCACAAATCAAAATGAGCAAGGTGTAAGAGAGATGATTTTTTGTTAATTTACTCAAATTATTTACAAACTAAACGGGCAGAAATTTGCAACATGTAATTTTTTCCACCTGCATCAAAGCCGAAATTTGGGTCGGATGCAGCACTTTAACACACGAGAATTAGAGTCTGATTTCTGGTCTGTGGCTAGTACTTGATCGGAGTTGATTCTAAAGTTTCAACTTTCTAGCTCCCATATTTTTAAAGCTAAATTATCTTAATTCACACACATACACCTGTTCGCATACAAACATGCATAAAAGCCTGTCTCAGCTAGTCACTTCAACTTAGTAATTTAGCACAGTACGCATATGTACAATCATTTACGGTAATTCGCGGTCATTTGTGGCCAATTTTAATTCTATGCAGTTGTTCATGTACAGTCGTTAATGAGGCCCATTGCAAAAAAAAGATTTGTCTTTAAGCGCAAATTTTAGATTTTTGGAATAGTACCAACGATGTACACTACGATCGGTGGCTTGAAGGCCGTTGTGTGGAGTGACTCAATCCAGGTATATGGGCATTCCTTTGCCTATTTCAATCCAAAATTCTGCTTAGACCTGTCTGATTCACTAACTTTGTAATATTTAGGCGGTTATGATGTACGGTGGAGTATTCGCGCTGCTCTATAAAGGACTGATGCATCCACAAGTGGGTGGGTTGGCAAAGGTATGGAATTTAGCATACGAAACAGGCAGAATTAACGAGTTGTGGCGAATGGATCTGAATCCGGCGCAGGTTCACTGCCTTTTTCTAGCCTCACTTCAGAGCTAACTTTCAAAATTAAAAGCTGTCAAAGCAAAAGGTATGAGCGCTTCCAGAGCAGTAAAATACCACGCACTGGGATTTCTCCGTAGCATCGCAAAGTTAAACAAATGGATTCGTTCCCTCGCAACAAAAAACCTAGACAGAAAAGTAACAAGTTTGCCGGTGCGCTCATGCGTTTTTGCACCGGACTTGAAGTAATCTGGTCATTAACTGCATGAATGTTTGTTGCTTTGCAACTACCTCTTGCGCTCACTAGCGAAAATTACCCTAAATTTTGCATAAAGTAAATAATTCCCATTTAATGATGGTTCTTTGAAAGTAATCTAGCTGTTCAATAAGCAGTTTCCCTGCCAAAACTTTCAAATGACC